GTAAAACAGGATTTGCCAATGGCCAATAGAGATAGGGTGAGCGCAAAGCATTGGCTGTTTCCTATAGAAAGATTTTAGTCGAATCAAGATAAAAAACACTCAATTCAAGCAAATATCACCTCATATTTTATCACTTTTTGCAGTGATTGAACGTAGTGGTACATCAGAGCTTTTTCTTTTGACTCAGCTTCCCACTTCCTCCTTCTATGTCATCCATTGTATTGTGGACATATAACAGTGCTACAAAAAACAACACAACACAATTGAGTTTCAAATAATTAAAGTACAGTTATGTTGTTAAATTTGCTTCTCAGAAATCCCAGCGTAAACGTGGCCCATGGTCCAATGCATTTGTGATCTTGTTCATTACATGTTCATCACAGTAACCTCTGCTCTCCCAAACCTCAGCGCTCTGGTCTCACATTAGAACACATTATGGAAAAGCAGAAAGCTGCATCTGTGAGCACACTCCTGAATGTGCACATGATGATGAGGCTCTAATGACTGCGCTACGCTTCATTAGTCAAGTGTTGTTATTGCCACAACAATCACTTTATTTTACACAGAGCCCTTTGCTCCTGTGAGCGCTCTCAAAGAAGAATACATCAGCAACGTATTTCAAATCAGACGAGCGGCGACTGGGTAATACTGTAGTGACGGTTCAGTTACTGATAAATTCCTAATTGGGTTTTATACATTGCTTTTATGGACACTCAAATAGGCTTCACATTTTTCATTAGCTCCACACACAGTAGTGATAAGTTGGCACTGTAGTACTGTGTCAAAGAATTAATAAGAATGTATTTAATCTAAAATACAACTGGGGTAGCCTACACTTTTACGCTTTGGGTTGCATGTCAATTTACTGACAGGCCAGGAAGGGGAGGAAACCTTTGGGCCTATGAAGTCTTTTAACCTCCAGAGCTAATTAGATTTAAATAAGGAGGTTTTTGTGTATTGTTTCTTTGTATTTAGGTGTGATTTTATCTTTCAATAAAACCCACTCTGTGAGAGCCGTTAAGGCAGTATGTGACTGGGCAGGATGTGCAGAAGGCTTATTTTTCCATCCAATCCCCCCTTCCCTTGCAAGTAAAACACTAATTCTTGTCCGATGTAGTCGGACTAACTGTTGTTAGCGTTCACAATGTTCCATCAGCCTCTTCGACCATCACAAACCATTCAGGCACACACCAGACTCATTCTAGGCAATGTGGGTGAAGTGCCTTACATTTTGAGTAATTCATAATATAGGCAGTATTATTTGCTATTTGCAGTGACACAATATTGTAAGATTCTGTGTATCAACTTTTTAAAAAACAATTCCAACTCTGCTTTTGAGCTGCACGTCCCCTCAGATCGACTTTGTAAGGGACAGAGCAGCTGCAACTTTGGTAAAGTGGTTTTTAAAACTTTTTAAATACATTTTAAATGTCTGAGGTCGAATTCAATGCTATCGAGGTTAATTAAAAGGAGAGAGAAGGACGAGCTTTACCGACACATCTGCACAAAGGTAAGATGAGCAATCTGACACAAAAGGGCAGTCCGAGAGTTAAAAAGGAACATTAACCCTCAGGACAAACGTTTTAAAATGCTGTTCTAATAGAGCTGTATGGGGGAGTTCATGTACCACAGTTTGAGAAGCACTACTATGGAGATTTATATGAACCAAAAAGACAAAATTCTATTCTAAAATAGAATAGAATAAATTATTTTCAGGTGATCAATGTCTAGGTCACCTGAATATGTAAAACATTAAATGGCAGCATTAGCATAAAACACAAAACATTTGTGAAGAAGTGCATTTTTTATTTTTTTTTATCAAAATTGCTGACATTTTTCACCAAAAAATCAACAAGACTGGCCTTTTTTTCACTGTGTTGCCGTGGCGATGACAGACAAACCCCATTCTGTGTCAATAGAAAAATAGTAAAGGTTCGTCTCAATCATTTCCCCAAGAGGTGTCAAAATTGCTACACATCATCCAAACAAGCAAACAGTGTAGCATCTAAAGTTAGATTCAAAATTTTAATCATTTAAACGGTTAAACGGTGTACATGCGGCAGAACTTGCATTTTGTTATTTTCATAGAGATGCATGAAAGTTCCCATGTTATTCAATGGAGGCACTCACTCACTGATCATTTGCATTATGATGTTGCAAATATCTGTGATTCCTTTACGAGAGCTGGGACAAGGACTCGTCACTGTCACCTCCTTTGGGAGATGTGGCCGTTAAATGCTGCTTGCGGCTCTAATATAAAGTATAAATTTTCTGCCAAATTTCTATAACTTTATCTTTTTCGAATGATCGAGTGACCATGTTTGACACAGAAGATTCCCAGTGTCCAAATTAAGCCCACTTCTCCTTGCACTCTTCCTGACTGGACTATTAATACATGACTGCTGTCTTTCTTACGCCTCCTCCTGGACGTCTTTGGGACAGCTCCACTCAGGGGCATGTGTCCCATATCACTGCACCGCGGGGGACGGATGGAGTCTATGTCCAGATAATGGTAGGGTGCTGTCTGCTATTTTCCACGGGATCGGCAGATTCTCCAATCCCTTTATCTATCCACTCGACACACTGTCTTTATCCTCTGCATTCAACTCAAACCTACAATAGATACAAAATCCTTTTTTTAAGCTTTTAACCACATTTCAACATTATTCCTCATCAAGAACATTACGGTTACAAACAATATTAATCAAGCTATGCCCAATTGTTTTATTTTTTTTGTATGAGTTCATAAAAATGCTTATTACTACATTCGATTGTATTCAAATCCATAATTTAATTGAAAACTTTAGCTCTTTGATTCAGCTTGTGTATGTATTCAGGCCGTAAAAAGTGCTGAGTAGACCCTTGGCGTGACGCTAGTTCTCCTCCAAACACAGATCAGGCTGCGTCCCCTAGCCTCTACAGCGCTGGTAAACAAGAGCCTGGCTGTAACTGCAGACACAGCAAAACAGTCCAAACGACACAACAGTGAGGAAGAGAAGAGGGAACCGAGTGCTATAAGCATTGGGTGGCAGAACACATTGTCACCCCCGACCCAGAAATGAACAAAAATGAATGAAAATGAATAATTTCATGAGTGTTTTGGCGTGTAGTGATGAAGGTTGAGATGAGTGTAAAATCACCTCCGGACTCGGCATACATTTTGTGCATACTGTGCGCCTACGTCCAGATTGATAAATGCAGAAAACTGTAAAAAAAATTCGTACACCTCATTTACACACTGATTTGGCCGTACGCAAGTTTCATAAATGAGGGCCATTGTGCTTCCACGGCTGCTTTTACCTGCATTCAAAATCATGTTTTATTATTTAATTTACGCATCTGTGCATGTGTGTGTGTGTTAGTGTGATTTATTTATTGTTTTTTTTATTGAAAGGTAAAGTACTTTGTGTTGTATAAATTAGGTTTTATCGTTCATTACTATAGAAACCGATGTTCCCCATTTCATGTATTTATTTCCAGTTACCGATTAACCAACAATGCATTTTTTCTCTCTCTCTCTCTCTTTGCTTCTTGTTCATCCCCAAAGATTCTTCCGACAGTCTTCACATGACAATTGCGGATATTGCCAGCACAACAGCTAATTTGCTCACCGTGGGTGGTCCCCTTTTTCATGTGACCTGCAGCTTAATGAGAAATTCTCCGACAACATCAAGGCAAAAATCGGTTCACATTCTGGTATTTATCATGCAACGAGTAGTGACGGCTGCACGAGAAAGAGCAAGAAGAAGAAATCAAAGTTACAGCGGGCTTTGGTTACCATACAAAAACCCGGACAAACTGCCAGATTGCGTTTGAGAGCAGCACGGAGCAGACACCCAACTCTGATTAAAGGTGTTTATGCTTGCCATGTTATCCAGTGTGACAATAGGCCCGAACACGCAGCCAAAACAAGACCTAACGAGGACCAGGCCGACTCAGGGTCCCACCGCTCTTTACATATGACGTTCTGAATCAAGCTCATGGACACGGACTGGACTAGCCTGCTCCGAGTTTTGGTGCCTCCCACTCTTTTTGAGCCAATCCTTGTGTAATAATAATAAAAGCCGTAAAATCCGGACTATAAGCAGCAGCTATTTTCTTGCATTTTGAAGGCTACGGCTCATAGTAAGGTGAGGCTTTATTATTTATATATTTTCATTTGTGCCAAAAACATTTTGCCAAGTAACAGTAAACTAACAGAATTGATGAGTAGTTCACAGAGGTCCACTTAAATTGTTTGAATTGTCAATCAAGCATAACGTTTAAAAATCCTCACTTACAATAAATTGTTTTTTGGTTCTTTGTACAAACATGAACGTGAAAAGAGACCAGTAGATGTTGCTCCTTATCTTTCTGTTTGACACTGGAAGATTAAGAACAGTCAGTGTCACTTCATACTCTTATCACTCACAGTCATAAGATACAACAAGATGGGATAGGTGCGGTTTATAATCCGGTGTGTTTTATAATCTGGAAAATACGGACTATATGTTGTAGATAGATAGATAGATACTTTATTGATCTCCCGTAGGATAAATTCAGGACAGTACAGATTCTCCCTTTACCTTTTCTGTTTTTGGAAAAAGACAAATCTGCGTTTACCCAAGAACTAAAAAACATACCTAATGTTGGATGGAACAGGTAATTAGAACATTTTCAATTCTTCTGGTGAAAAGTAGTCAGTCTCAATTTGCCCATCTGGTTCTGTTCAACTATCTTAACTTCAATTTCTTTCTTGGCTTTGTGGGGGATTTAGAAAGGTTCAAGACTGTTTCCACAAAGCATGGATACATGAGCTCAGGGCTTGCCTGCATTACTGGCACAAATGTCGGCTGGAATATAGCACCAGAGTGGTAGTAATAGAATAAGAGTGCACATTTACAAGCCTGGAGTACACATTATGGCCGGCCACGCTATTCCACATCAAACTAGAGCCATTCACCGCAGCGGCACGGAACCTGAGGTGAGGGGAGACGAGCCTGCTGCAGGTTTGACAGAGTTCAGGTGACGTCCACATGGTCAGAGCAGAGAGTGACGTCCACATGGTCAGAGCAGAGAGTGACGTCCACATGGTCAGAGCAGAGAGTGACGTCCACATGGTCAGAGCAGAGAGTGACGTCCACATGGTCAGAGCAGAGAGTGACGTCCACATGGTCAGAGCAGAGTGACGTCCACATGGTCAGAGCAGAGAGTGACGTCCACATGGTCAGAGCAGAGAGTGACGTCCACATGGTCAGAGCAGAGAGTGACGTCCACATGGTCAGAGCAGCGAGTGACGTCCACATGGTCAGAGCAGAGAGTGACGTCCACATGGTCAGAGCAGTGAGGGACGTCCACATGGTCAGAGCAGAGTGTGACGTCCACATGGTCAGAGCAGAGTGACGTCCACATGGTCAGAGCAGAGAGTGACGTCCACATGGTCAGAGCAGAGAGTGACGTCCACATGGTCAGAGCAGAGAGTGACGTCCACATGGTCAGAGCAGAGAGTGACGTCCACATGGTCAGAGCAGTGAGGGACGTCCACATGGTCAGAGCAGAGTGTGACGTCCACATGGTCAGAGCAGAGAGTGACATCCACATGGTCAGAGCAGAGAGTGACGTCCACATGGTCAGAGCAGAGAGTGACGTCCACATGGTCAGAGCAGAGAGTGACGTCCACATGGTCAGAGCAGAGAGTGACGTCCACATGGTCAGAGCAGAGAGTGACGTCCACATGGTCAGAGCAGAGAGTGACGTCCACATGGTCAGAGCAGAGAGTGACGTCCACATGGTCAGAGCAGAGAGTGACGTCCACATGGTCAGAGCAGCGAGGGACGTCCACATGGTCAGAGCAGAGAGTGACGTCCACATGGTCAGAGCAGAGAGTGACGTCCACATGGTCAGAGCAGCGAGTGACGCGTCTCACTGGTCTCTGCTAAAGGTTAAAAGTGATGTGTTTGGAGCTGATGGTAAGGACCAGCAGCACACACATGGTCCATGTGGTTTGACTGAAGCCGCGTATTTGAATCCTTTGGGCTGCGTGACACAGAGGAGCGCGACAGACCGGTATGTGTGTGTGTGTACAATACATGTATGTGTGTGTGTGTGTGTGTGTATATGTATGTGTGTATACAGTGCCTTGCAAAAGTATTCGGCCCCCTTGAACCTTTCAACATTTCGCCACATTTCAGTCTTCAAACATAAAGATATTTTTATTTTTTTGTCATGAATCAACAACAAGTGGGACACAAACGTGAAGTGGAACAACATTTATTGGATAATTTAAACTTTTTTAACAAATAAAAAACTGAAAAGTGGGGCGTGCAATATTATTGGGCCCCTTTACTTTCAGTGCAGCAAACTCAGTCCAGAAGTTCAGTGAGGATCTTTGAATGATCCAATGTTGTCCTAAATGACTGATGATGATAAATAGAATGCACCTGTGTGTAATCAAGTCTCCGTATAAATGCACCTGCTCTTTGATAGTCTCAGGGTTCTGTTTAAAGCGCAGAGAGAACCATGAAGACAAAGGAACACACCAGGCAGGTCCGAGATACTGTTGTGGAGAAGTTTAAAGCCGGATTTGGATACAAAAAGATTTCCCAAGCTTTAAACATCTCAAGGAGCACTGTGCAAGCAATTATATTGAAATGGAAGGAGTATCAGACCACTGCAAATCTACCAAGACCCGGCCGTCCCTCCAAACTTTCATCTCAAACAAGGAGAAGACTGATCAGAGATGCAGCCAAGAGGCCCATGATCACTCTGGATGAACTGCAGATAACTACAGCTGAGGTGGGAGAGTCTGTCCATAGGACAACAATCAGTCGTGCACTGCTCAAATCTGGCCTTTATGGAAGAGTGGCAAGAAGAAATCCATTTCTCAAAGATATCCATAAAAAGTCTGGTTTAAAGTTTGCCACAAGCCACCTGGGAGACACACCAAACATGTGGAAGAAGGTGCTCTGGTCAGATGAAACCAAAATCAAACTTTTTGGCCACAATGCAAAACGATATGTTTGGCGTAAAAGCAACACAGCTCATCACCCTGAACACACCATCCCCACTGTCAAACATGGTGGTGGCAGCATCATGCTTTGGGCCTGCTTTTCTTCAGCAGGGACAGGGAAGATGGCTAAAATTGATGGGAAGATGGATGGAGCCAAATACAGGACCATTCAGGAAGAAAACCTGTTGGAGTCTGCAAAAGACCTGAGACTGGGACGGAGATTTATCTTCCAACAGGACAATGATCCAAAACATAAAGCCAAATCTACAATGGAATGGTTCACAAATAGACGTATCCAGGTGTTAGAATGGCCAAGTCAAAGTCCAGACCTGAATCCAATCCAGAATCTGTGGAAAGAGCGGAAGACTGCTTTTGCAAGGAAGAATGGGCAAGAATTCCAGTCTCTCAATGTGCAAAACTGATAGAGACATACCCCAAGCGACTTGCAGCTGTAAATGCAGCAAAAGGTGGCGCTACAAAGTATTAGCGCAAGGGGCCGAATAATATTGCACGCCCCACTTTTCAGTTTTTTATTTGTTAAAAAAGTTTAAATTATCCAATAAATTTTGTTCCACTTCACGATTGTGTCCCACTTGTTGTTGATTCATGACAAAAAATGTAATTTTTATATCTTTATGTTTGAAGCCTGAAATGTGGCAAAATGTTGAAAGGTTCAAGGGGGCCGAATACTTCGCAAGGCACTGTATGTGTGCGTGTGCGTGTGTGTGTGTGTGGCGCGTGTGCATGTGTGCGTGCATATGTGCGTGCATATGTGGTACGTGTGCGTGCATATGTGGCGCGTGTGCGTGCATATGTGGTACGTGTGCGTGCATATGTGGCACGTGTGCGTGCATATGTGGCACGTGTGCGTGCATATGTGGTACGTGTGCGTGCATATGTGGTACGTGTGCGTGCATATGTGGCGCGTGTGCGTGCATATGTGGCGCGTGTGCGTGCATATGTGGCGCGTGTGCGTGCATATGTGGTACGTGTGCGTGCATATGTGGCGCGTGTGCGTGCATATGTGGCACGTGTGCGTGCATATGTGGCACGTGTGCGTGCATATGTGGCACGTGTGCGTGCATATGTGGTGCGTGTGCGTGCATATGTGGCGCGTGTGCGTGCATATGTGGCGCGTGTGCGTGCATATGTGGCGCGTGTGCGTGCATATGTGGCGCGTGTGCGTGCATATGTGGCGCGTGTGCGTGCATATGTGGCGCGTGTGCGTGCATATGTGGCGCGTGTGCGTGCATCCAGAAATATGTTAATTTGCAGCATTGCCAAAAAATATGTGCGTGTCCCACATCTTGTTTGCCACAAAGTCTCCAGGTCGAGTTATTGATGATGCCTTCTTTATTTTTGGAGTGATAAAGTATCGTACCATGTTCTTCCAGCAGAATAACTTCCAATTCCTAGAACTGGAGGTGGTTATTTGACTTTCACTTTATACCGTGATTCTTCAGTTATTTCTTCTTTGAATTCCGTGACCCATTTGTCTCTAATATATAATGTTGATGTTTTCCTATTTGCTAACAACCCTTTGTACAGTTTAGATATAGCTTTACCACTTTTATTTTTGTAAGAGTCGCTAAGTATTTCTGTAATTGCATTCCTTTCACGCGGGAGGTTTGGTCTCATCTCTTTCTGAAAATGAGCTCTCACTTGTAGGTACATATAAAAGTCTTTGTGAGCCAAGTTAAATTTTGGTTGTAGGTTTTGGAAGCTTGCAAATTCCCCTTTTTGGAAAAATTTGTCTAAAATACTCAACCCTGGGTTTGACCATTCCTGGAATTTTATGTTCATACTTCCTGGTCTGAAATATGTATCGAACGCAGGCCAGCTAAATAGTTTTATTTCTTTCTCTATTTTAACTTTTGAGACAACTTTGAACCAAACCTCCAGAGTGAATTTGGTAATGGCATCTAGTTTGTTTTCATTTTCTTTAAACAGTTTTCTATTGGCAATCATAGCTTGTACATGGTATACATTGTTCAATTCTATTTGCTTCCACTTAGCAACATATTCAGAATCACATCAAAGAATCAAAGGTTCGAGCTGTGCTGCATAAAAGTATTCTTCAGGTTTGGCAGTGCCAGTCCACCCTCCCTTTGTGGTATTTGAAGTGTAGTGAATTTAATTCTTGTTTTGCCCCATGCCAGATGAATCTAGAATTTTTTTTGGCCCACTCTGCAAATTGTTGTTTTGGTATCCACACTGGTAATGATTGGAAGAGGTACAGAATTCTTGGAGCACGTTCATCTTAAAAGTTTCAATTCTTTTGTGTAAGTCCAGCAGTAAAATGTTCCATCTTTCTATATCTTTATACAGTTGTTGATTCAAGGAGGAATACTTCGAGGTTCTCCTCAATCCCCCCGTCACGTCCCCCATCCAGGAGGCAGAGGCTGAGGATGTTGGGGCGGATACTTCCATCTCCCTGGCCGAGGTCACCAAGGTGGTTGGCAGCCTCCATGGTGGCAAGGCGCCGGGAGTGGATGAGATCCGTCCTGACTATCTAAAGTCTCTGGATGTTGTAGGACTGTCTTGGCTGACACGTCTCTGCAACATCGCGTGGCGATCGGGGGCGGTGCCAATGGAGTGGCAGACCGGGGTGGTGGTCCCTCTCTATAAGAAGGGGTACCAGAGGGTGTGTTCCAATTATCGTGGGATCACACTCCTCAGCCTCCCCGGTAAGGTCTACTCCAAGGTACTGGAGAGGAGGCTTCGTCCGATGGTCGAATCTCGGATTCAGGAGGAGCAGTGTGGTTTTCGTCCCGGTCGCGGAACACTGGACCAGCTCTATACTCTCCATCGGATACTCGAGGGTTCATGGGAGTTCGCCCAACCTGTCCACATGTGCTTTGTGGATTTGGAGAAGGCGTTCGACCGCGTTCCCCGGGGTGTCCTTTGGGGGGTCCTCCGGGAGTACGGGGTCCGGGGTCCTCTGCTGAGGGCTGTTCGGTCCCTGTATGACCGGAGCCAGAGCTGTGTTCGCATTGCTGGCAGTAAGTCAGACCTGTTCCCGGTGCATGTTGGCCTCCGCCAAGGCTGCCCTTTGTCACCGGTTCTGTTCACTGTATTTATGGACAGAATCTCTAGGCGCAGCCAGGGGCCGGAGGGGGTCCGGTTCGGGAACCACAGGATTTCATCTCTACTTTTTGCGGATGATGTCGTCCTGCTGGCTCCAACGAACCAGGACCTGCAACATGCACTGGGACGGTTTGCAGCCGAGTGTGAAGCGGCTGGGATGAGAATCAGCACCTCCAAATCTGAGGCCATGGTGCTCGACCGGAAAAAGGTGCCTTGCCCTCTCCAGGTGGGTGGAGAGGTCCTTCCTCAAGTGGAGGAGTTCAA